GGAGGGAGGGAGGGCGGGCGGGTTGGGGTGCGGGAATGGCGGCGGACCCAGAGCTGAAGTTCACGTACGAGGAGGAAACCGAGGCAGATTCCTTTTTTGTGCCCTACATTTGGGAGACCATCTATACCATCACCAAAGAAGACCTCTGGTGGATGCCTCAGTATATTCAGCTCTTTGGCCCCACCCCGTCGCCTTCGCTCCCTCCTTCGGCGCCTCCTCCCCGCCCTCCTCCCTCGGACGCTGCCCCGTCCTCGCAGGGAATGGTGCGCAGGCTGCTGGCAGGAACCATGAGCGTGATTCCGACCTCCCTCATTTCTTTGCCTCCCCCCTCGCGGGCCCAGAATCAGCTTTCTCGGAATGGGCGGACGAGTACGGTCGATGCGGGTGCTGAGGAGGACGCGGGCCGCCCTTCCATTACCGCGTTGCCTGTGGTGGTGACCATGAACGTGTAGTAGGGTTCAAAAAGGATCCGCGAAGGACAAGGACAGGGATCTGGCGGCGGACATGCGGGTGTGGAAGGGTGGAGAATGGTGGATGGACACGACTCAGGTCGCGAAATTGTCGAGGGGGGAGGACTTCGTTGGATGGAAGCGAGGGTACGCCGCGAGGACGGGAAAGAGAGGGGTTGGGCACGCAGGGGGCAGCGATCCAGCTGTTGAAAGCGTGTTCCCTAGGGGAAAGAATGAGAAACTTTTGTTTTGGAAGGTAGAATCGCATAACGTGTGGAGTGTTGTGTGTGGAGTGACAAGTAGGCCAGGGCGATAGGATGGTGGCCTGGGTGAAAATAAGGACGGCACAAGGGATGAGGCACGAAAAGCATATCAAAGTTGGTGTATCTCATAGAGTATTGGCGTTCCTCCTCTCTTTCCCTCCCATTATTCGAAGCTCTGCTCTGTCCTCTTTTATATGATCGAAAACTCATTCCATTACCAGCCCTGCCCCTCTGCCGTGCGACATGACCACATCGCAACGCTTTCCGCGATTTTTCTTACCCCCCTTCGGATATACTTCCACCTGGCCTATCTTTGTTCGTGTCTTTTTCTTGAAAAGCATGGGTTTTGAAAGGAATACAAGTAGTCTCACACGACTCGTCACTCGCGCTGAATGCGAGCTGTCCCTTGTGATCCGTCTTGCAAGGAAAAGCATGTACACGACATGAAAACCCTTCTCTTGCTCCGCTACAAGAGCAAAGCAGTGCTTCTTGATTTCCCCTCCTCTTCTCGCTTTCTACCATTTAAGTCCAGCCTTTAAATATGTCTACCCGGTTCATGTCTCCTTCCTGCCCATTTTTCTAATGCAAGGTGGCAGCATTCCCATTGGGAGTCAAGCCTCCGGGGCTCGTGGTGCGTGCCTTCTTCCTTCCGAAGTAGAAGCCTGCCGCAATCAGAACGAGGCCGACGAAAGACATAAACACGGCCAAGATGATGTTGGACGAAGCGGGGAGCCCGGTGTAGTTGCTCATGCTGCGCATGGGACAGGCCTGGAAGCGCGTGCAGTCCGAGGAGGGGGTCAAAAACACCTTGCTGCCGTCCGAGCAGGTCTTAAATTGGTCACTGGAGCAAATGGCGGCAGCCTTGTCTGCCAAAGACAAGCCGCATACGGGGTAGCCCCGCTCGCATTCCGCCGCCGTCACAACCTGCTTGGTCTCTCCCTGTGCCAAATCGCGCAGAAAGACTCGCTCGTGGCTGGCAACGGCAGGCGTGGAAGGCTGGATGACCTTGATGAAATCCATCAGGACAATGTCGGGACGCGAGACGCCCGATTCGAACCAGGCGCTGCCTGTGGCCGAGCCGGTTCGGTCCTCGCGGTAGAGTTTCCCGTGCGCGATGAATGGGTACTCCATGTCGTTACCAGAGAGACCGTAGGCGGCCAGGGACTCGTCGCGCGAGAGGACGGAAGGGGAGTAGCGTTCGTCGATCAGGATGTCCGTGTCTTTCAGGTTGGCGGCGAAGGCCTTGATGGCCGCCTCCCTCTCTGCTCCGGCTTCCTTCGGCACGGCCCATCTGGCGGCCCGCATGGTGCTCGGGAAGCTCACATTAGGGGCGCCCACAAAGTCTTCCACATTGGCAATGTATCCGCCGGCATCCAGGACCGCGCTTCGTTTGTAGCCAGCCACATCGATCATAAAGTAATCCACGGTACTGTCACCGTACGTGTCGACGTTCACGAAAGACACTTTGGGGCGGCTCGGATTGGCCTTGGCGGCATCCGAGAGCTCGTAGTACTTCTCCCGGGTCCGATCAAACTTCTGCTCTGCCACGCCGTCCAGGTTGAAAAAAGCAGCTGCAAACTTGAGCCACTCCCCGCGCCCCAACAAGCTGGTCTCTGAGGTGGCAGAGAAGATCACTGTTTTATCCGTGGCACCCGTCCCCTTGTAAGACTCCGAGTAATCGAAGTAGACGTTGGCCTCGTTCATCAGGGCATCATATTCTTCCGGCTTGGCGCCCCAGCCGGGCACCGCTGCATTCAAACCAGGGGACATGACATTGTTGCTGCAGGTCAGAGCTTTTTGAGCACAGGCATCCACGGAGTACGGAGAAAGCGAGATGAGACGATCGGTCACGCCCATGTCCGTCTTGTCGTTCTGAAGGAGGTTCAGAAAGTCGTAGCTGACAGTTTCAGCCGTTACAGCTTTCTGGGCGGGCACGGAAAGGATGCGGCGCTCATAGCCGGCAGGGAGGGTCAGAGCGCTGACATCCGGCTCGGGGGCTCCGCACCGATAGAGCACGTACTGTCGCTTGCCTGCCTTGTTGGTCACCACTTTGTACCCCTGATCGTATTCAATAGTAAACTTACGGGCTTCATCGACGGTGGCACCGGCCGCGGAAGGGAAATAGTCTTTGGATGCACTGAATGTCGCGGGTGCGAGGCACTCCTCCACGGATCCTGCACTTGTGTAGGCGGATAGGCTCGCCAAGGCCATTGCGCCGAAGGCAACACGATGCATGGTGCGTCAAGTACAGATAAATGTGTAGTAGTTCGTTCCTGTTGAGTGTCAAAAGGATTAGACAGATACAAAAGGTAGCGTTAGAGGAAATGCTTGCTACGGCGACATGAGCACGAACATGTCAACATTTGGTCCATGTTTCTACTCAAAAATTTCCATGTTACGCCAAAGGTAGAACGCTCTATATCAGTTTTATCGCATACAAGGCCCATAAAGTCAAAACAATTGATTTTGTCTTGATTTCAAGCGCTGTGAGATACAAGAAAATATGACAATCAACCCCCAAATCATAGTAATGAAAGAGGAGCTGTAATCCGTAGAGAGAGTGTAGACGATGGAGGCATAGTGCTTGAAATTCTTACACAAAGCTTATAAGAATTTCAAAGCAACCGGGTGCACGCAACGGTGCTGTATAAGAGGGTATCGTCTACTAATCAGTGGCCACAGACTCTAGTTCTCATGGGCTCTACATTTGTTTTCGTACTGTAGACACTGCCTTTTTTAAGGACGCAAGCAAACACGATTCTACGCAACATTTCATGTTGACCAAGCAAACAGATAGGAAAGCATGGGAAGGAACGAAACGAACGATGAGAGGGAAGAGTGAGAGGCAATGGGCGGTTGAAGCTGGTGTCGCCTTCGGAAATTTGAAACGGTTTTGGAGCGAAACGGCGCATCAGCCGTTAATCTTCGACCTAGCCTGTCGTTTAATTCTTGTTTCGTCTTTCACGAGCCCGGCTTTCAGCGATTTGGGGACTGTTTGTAAATTCTGTGCAACATCGTGCAGAATCCAACCCAAGCTACAGCTGATGGAAGGCGCCTGGCACAAAAAAAGGAAAAACGTTTGGTTTTAAAATTCCCGCAACATTCCCCCGCTACATAATACTCTGGAATCGTTGCTCATCCTTTATTGAGTTTACGACTTTTCGTATTGTATATGTACATCACACGCCCGACCGATTTGTCAAAATTAGGGCGATTCATCCGATACCTCTCATCAATTTCTCCGACGTCGGTTGTAATCGTGTCATCAGTTTGTAAGAAGTGAGCCCCGCACAGTGGCGATTCCTGGAGCACTTTCAAAAAGATTATTTTTCTATCTTTGTATTCTTGAATATCATTTTTTTCATATGCATGGTATATTTTGTGACAGGATGGGCCCGCATGGCTAAGTAGTCTTAAGCTGTGTTTTATGCTCCATGTGACAAGTACCCTCATTCTCTTTTAAACCACCTTGTCATGGACACGATGCACTTTGTTCTGATCACACTACCGAAATATCCAGCCCTCCTGAAGGTGAACTCTAACCCTGAAGGTCAACTTTCATTCTCTTACATTTAACAATGACATCCCCTCGTGTGAAAATCAGCACCATAAGTGCCCTCTTATGTATAAAAATTCATCGCCTTCTATCTCCCCTCGTTCTTTTCGACATAGCTACTGTTATACCACCGACACTGCCCTTACTCTTGAAGCTTCAAAAAATTTCCGCCATGTCCGTATTCGATCACATCGCTCGTCCCTTAGGATGTAACAATTCTTCCAATTCTTGAATTTTCCAAATGCCGCGGCGAACCGGAGAAAATAGAGCGACCGCCAAAGCTCTTGGCAGTCCAGCTCGTACTTAAATGGGCGACCCACAACTGTAACGGCCCGAAGCTCACGGGAGCGTACATAATGGAATATCTGGTCGTGAAGGTCATAGGAAGAGGAGGAGGTAAAAAAAGGGATGAGAATGAATATTCTACCCCAGAAATAATAGGAAAGCAGCATAAGATTTATCAAGGGCCATTTTTTAGTGTTTACATATAAGCAGCAATGTCAGGTGAGTTGTCTTCCTGTCAAAATCGGTCTCTCCCATTAATGCCTGAGCATCACCCCTTTACGCCCCTGCACCTGCTCGAGAAGCTCAGGACAAGCCACAGCTATTTCGGATAGATAAGAAGCCGGATGTTGGGGAGGCAAAAAAAAGGGGATCTTTGTTTGACGGTGGTGGCAAGCTCTGTAGGATCGATGTTGGAATAGAAAAGACCAATCAACGAGACAGAACAGGAAGTAAAAAAGATAAACCTTTCTTCTGACTTACGCGCCATTTTGAGAGGAAACAGGATAATAGCTGTCGATTAATGCCGCGGACTCCGCATTGCCAGGCAAGACCCGCGATCCTCCTGCGGAAGTTGCATTGTCCCTAGTGTTGGCCCCCACGAACCATCGAGCAGGCGGACGACGACGCGACAAGAGGCGCCATTGCAAGAGACGGGCCCGAACAAGCATGGAACGTTTCAATTTCTCGACCTCTCGGACTCGACTCATCATGATATGGAGGATTTCTATGTTTCCGCAGCCGAAATATAGATTTTTACACTGCCCTGCTTCTCGTTCTGTCTCGTGCTCTATCTGTCCTCCAGATCAAGACCCCCGCACTGGCAACCCAACAGGGTACCTGTGATGTATGTATTCTTAAAGTGAGTGGTGTCATGGAATTGATCATGTCGCTGTACAGTTTGGAAGGGGGGTTGTCATGCCCCTGTGGCACGACTTGGGATAGTTACAACTGGCAAATGCCAACTCCAGCCGCCCTGTCTCTCGAGTAATTTGATGCAGCGAACAGAACGGGAAATGAATATATACAAGCCAACGTCCCATGTTGACCATCTCTAGCTCTTGCTTAACACATATTGAGAACAGAATGTTCTGGCCAATGCCGGACAAGGATACTTGGAGTGACACGCACCCCCCGCATCGGAGTTGAACCCTTGACTCAAAGCAGTGGGGGTAATACCGTTTTCGAATAGTTTTCCTGCAGGCTGCGACGTCTTCAAAGGTCTTGTGTGCAAGTCTTGAGCAAAGTAATTTCCTTTATTTTGTTAACCTGTGCCGGGACGTGTCAATTCCCGATTCCCCTTATACTCGCAGACGCGGCGAATCGCTTTCTGTACAAGAACACAGGAACCCGTCTCCCATGAATACCCAGGACACGCCGATATCGACTTCAAAGCCGCCACCTTGCGCTCCTTCTGGTACACAGACATGTGCCGCGGAAAAAGATACCGAGCCAAGTATTGTGGCTGTGGAAGAGGACGCAGAGTCTCTTCTGTTGGGGTGGGATGCAGTAGAAGGGGCGGTGTTCTACGAGCTTCAGATGCTGAAGCAGGCAGTCAAGTCTATAGGGTACGTGACGGCACTATCTCTTGGAAAAATGGGTGTGTCACGGGTCGTTTCCCCCATATATGTTGAAGGCCTGCGTCTAATTTTAGATTCTCTCGGAATGACAGAGGCGAAGAGGATAGTCAGGCCGAAGACTGGAATGCTGCCAGGGCCATGGAAGAGCCTGGACTTACGGATCATGGTGACGCTGTGGGAGAATGGTGCACGCTTTCCGCATCCCGTAAGTCTTTGTCCACCCTCTCACCCTCTTTCGCTCCTTTCCTCTCTCCCTTCACGTCTCCTTTCTTGCGGGTCGTTCTCGTCCCTCTTTTTACCGATCAATTTCACACCTGCTCTCTTTCCTGCGCCTTTCCATGGATGCCTCACGTCCTTTCCCAAAACTCAAACTCCTCGCCGCACAGTGAAGAGCAACATGGTCCGAAAGAGAAACCTCTCTCACTCCACCCCTTACCGCTTCCGCGTCCGCGTCCGCGACAAAGTGGATTGGCTGCCGTTCCAGACTTCCTCCCTCCTCCACACTCTCTCCACGTTTGTGCAACGAATGGCGGCCCCGCGGGGAGAGGTGGGCGGGGCAGCAGGGTGTGTCACCCTGTCCTGGGAGCCTGTGGAGGAGGCAGCGGCCTACGCCGTCCACATGCGCGAGCAGGGGGCAGTCAGATGGAAGGAGGTGGGGAGGGTAGGCGGCACGAGCGTGAAGAAGAAGAATCTGGAGGCAGGAAAAGCCTACCACTTCCGAGTCAGGCCGGTGGGGGAGAGAGTGGAAGACGTCTGGGTGTGGAGCCCGTGGAGTGAGGCCATGAGTCCTCCCTCGCTTCCACCCGTCCTTCGGCGCATGTTTGGTTCGCGCCTGGCGGTAGAAGTGGGGAAAGAGGGAAAAAAGGAGATTGGGGTGGAGTCACTGGCGGGTAGTGTTGTGGGTGTGTACGCCTCGGCCCATTGGTGTGCTCCTTGCCGTCAGTTTACTCCGCAATTGGCCAATTTTTACCGCGGCCTGCAAGGCGCTGGGAAAGCTTTTGAGATTGTTTTTGTTTCGCTAGACCAGGAAAAAGAAGCTTTCGAATTATACTTCGAAAGCATGCCTTGGCTGGCAATTCCGTGGGAGGGAGGGGAGGGAGAGAGGGAGGCATTGATGCGTATGTATCAGATAACATCCGTTCCGCGATTGTTGATATTTGGGAGGGATGGAGAATTGCTGGAGAACAATGCGGTAGGGTCACAATTTTTGAGAGAAGAGGCATTTCATTCTTGGTGGGAGGGGAGACCGTTCAGAGCAGGGGGAGGTGGATGTTGTGGAGGTGGAGGATGCAAGTAGAAGAAGCGGGCGGTAGGGGAGGTGATTTCTGGAGGTAGACGCAATGCCTCCTAGACATGTTGACCCATATGTTTGCCTCTACAGAATAGGGTGTTGAGTTAAAGCATTCGATGAACAAACTAGATAGATCGTACTTGATTCGCTGCCTGTTCGTCTCAAGAGAAGAGTTTACATGGGCCTCGGCCCCAATGCAGGGAAAGTAAAATACCAGTGGTCGCACAAAAATGTGCCCCAAACACTTCCCAAGAATGTTTTGCGTCGGGACGTTAGGACATTTTAGCTAAATCGCATGCACGTGCGGGGTGCTACCAACCATGCTGTCTCCTCATCTGAGAAAAAAAGGGCCAGGAGGTTTTGTTGACGGCCCTCGCTTTCTTTCGAGTATCTTCCCTCACCACCACATTCTATCCCATGTATTGTGGACGTGCAGGGGTTCAACGCCGTTCTTGTCTCTGCTCTTCATTATGACACAGCTTTTTTTGCTCTTGCTTTCTTGCCTCTTCAGGATATTCATGGCATTTTCTGGGACCACAAGACCTGCCCCTTCCTGCGCTTTCACGACGGCCAAGGTGGCGACGCCGCTCCTGCTACTCGTGCATGCTCTCTATATTATGTCCTCCCTTGGGGTCGGCGCCTTTGTCTTGCCCACATCCACCGGCATTTCCACCTCCAGAACACCTATGACGATTCAGCCCCGAGCCCGGACAGACCTGGCTCACAAGCCTCGGAGCAACGTGGTGATGATGCCGGCCTCCGAGCCCGCCGTGCCATATAAGGCACCAGGGACAGGTAAGAAGGCCTAGATATTCGGTGCTGCAGCATCAGTCTACATAAATGTATATGCCAGTGGAATATATTAGCTTGGTCTTCATGTTTGGTTTCGCTCGTGTGCGTATTGAGTGGATTGAGAGGGGATTGACGTGTTGCTTTCTTTCAATTCCGGTCTAGATTATCATAGGTATGTTGGCATTTATCAACGACTGTACTACGATCGCGTTCTGCTTTGCGGACAGTTCATCGACGATCGAGTGGCGAATCAGATCATGTCGATTCTCTGGTACCTGCACAACGAGGACAAGCACAAGCCTATTTACATGTACTTCAACGTGCCAGGGGCCATGCTACGACCTGCTCTGAGCGTCTTCGACACAATGCAAGCGATGAGCAATGAGATAGAGACGATCAATATCGGTCTCACCACGGGCATGGGCGGCTTTCTCTGCGCGGCCGGGACGCACGGGAGAAGGTTTGCCCTGCCGAACTCGAGATTTTTAATGCAGAAGACGGGCTTCGAGGAGGTGAGAGAGAAAAAGAGGTGTTGAGGGCTTGCGGGCACTTTCTTGGGACGGTGATGGGTCACTGATGTACACTCTTCCTTCTCCCATCTTTCAGCAAGTGTACGGCCAGGCTAGTGACATCATTTTGGAGGTGGAGAGCACCGTCAGGGAGAATCAACGTTTTTTAAAGGAGCTCGCGCGCTTGACCGGGCGAGCCCCTGAGACTATCGTCGACGACTTTGCTCGCGACTTTTACCTGTCCGCAGAGGAGAGTGTGGAGTACGGCATGGTGGACCAGGTGATCATACCCGGACATAAGGACGCGTTGGCAGTGACGGACGGAGAGGTGGGCTTCGGGCGCTTTGTGTCCGGGAGTGATCAAAGGTACCAACCGCAATTCGCGCCGCAAGCGTGGAGCTAGGGTGAGAGAGACACTGGGGCATCGCCGCTCGCGGGTCTTACCAAAAAGAAAAATAAGCACGATGTACTTAGCCAAGCGGCACGTGGCACATGTTGCACAGTTGGAGGGCTGTAACTAACGGTTGAGTCTGCTTAAACCTTTGTCCACCGAGATACTCTGATCCGCTCTTTCGCCTTTTGCTCACCAACGTCCAATCAGAGTGGTGACCATCTTGAAGACGTCGAACAACCCGCTCCGTTTGTTCCCCTCCCCCCCTTCCACCTCTCCCCCCGCCACCGCCACCACTGCCACCCGCCACGCGGTCAGAAGCACCAGCGTGGTAACCATCGTCACCGCCATGAATGGCACAGGGGGCACTTCCCCCTTCAGCAAGCCCCTCCCCACAAGCCCACCGGGCACGGCCAGTGCCCACGCCTTCAGCACCGTCTTCACTGCGTTGCCTGTGGACCGGGAGGCCTCGGGCGTGTAGGCGCCCAGGAGAGGCGCCAGGCCCAACCAGGCCAGGATAAAGGGAGCGGCCGTCTGCACCACCTGGACGTCGAGTGAGAGTCCGCCCGTGTGAATGGAGCGACCGACGCTGGCGAAGAGCAGGAACATGAGCACGTCCCCCAGTGCCAAGAGAGGCCGGGCGCCCACGTCCTTCCAATTGTTTTCGCCCACCCGCCGAACGTCCAGGCCCGCTTGACCCGACCAGGCGGTCTCGGCCACGGCCAGGTCCTCGGCGTCGTCGAGGGGGTCGTAGTCCGGGTCCGCCTGGGCGGGGGAGGCAGGGGCGGAGGGAAGGGGCTGAAGCCCGGAGAAGAGGGGGCGGGGGAAACGAGATGGTGTGAGTTTTCCTCAGAAGGGGCGGATGGACAGGTGGTAAGGTGCGTGCAGTACCACTTCACGTGCTGGAATGGCATTCAAAACGAGTGCTGCCGGGTCATGGGATGCGAAGGGGGTTTCAACCTTCCGCCTTCCAAAATAATCGGTTGCTTCTTCCTCTTCGTAGGTAGATTGTCCAGTACATTCGTATTTCATTTTCCATCCCCATCCCATCTCTGAAGGTCGCTTACCTCAGCGTTTGTGCCGTCGAAGTCCAGCACGTCCTCCAGTTTGTAAGAAGCTCGCAGCCCTTGCAACCTCTTTTTTTCCTCCGCGCTCATGGTCGATTCGTCCAGTCGTAAATCGTCCAATTCCTCTGCCAACGTTCTCTGTTTTCGCGCGAGCAAAGCCCCAAAAGCTGCTTGTCGACTCCCTGACGCGGAGCTGGAAGGGAGCTTTGAGGCGACAAACATTGGAGTGCGGAGGATGTAGAAGTCCCGTCCCGATGGGATGGAGGGTGCGACAAAGGCGAAAACAGCAGGGAAAGATGTGGCGGCGAGGAGGAGGAAGAGTAGCGGGATGGGGTTGTGTTGCTTTTCCCTCCCCATGTCAGGAAGGGGCTTGTGTTTTCGCAACTTTCAGGGTCTTTCTGAACTAGCCCTAGGAAAAGTCACCTGAGATACAGTCTCCAACAGGCGGTCTCCAGTCCTGTATCCGTTGCATATCAAGAAGGTATGTGTACAGACGGAAGATGGCTATGAAGAAAGCTGGGAAACAATGAGGAGGAGCTACCATGGCTGGGTCTGCGGCAGCCGAGGGTCACGTGAGGATCTTACTGCTTCCCTCTCCGTGACATCACGCTCCTATGGGCCTGGTGAGACGCGCCAAAGGATCACAAAAGTCCTTTGTTTCCGCGCTTTTGTGTATCGGATGTCGAATTGCATGTAATATTGGCCATTTGAGCGCTCGAAAGCTTTATTTCAACAATTGGTTCCTTTGTCTTATAAGGGCTAGCATCTAATCATCCTCACTTCTCCTCCCCTTTCTTCTGGAAGTAAAATCCAAATCCAGAGTATCTCCATCTTTTTCAGGTTATTGACTTCTCATGCTAGCTTTCGCATTATGGAAATCTACGAAGCCGTGGTCTTTTCCGACCTTCTCCTCAAATGTTTCCATCAAGCAATTTCCTCGAACCAAGATATTCTCCTCAACTTCAAAACCTTGTGAACTTAGAAAATGGCGAACCTCCCGAAGATGTGCCTGTAATCATAAATGCACGAGAAGTTCTTTTTTGAGGCATTCTAAGGCTATTTTGTAGCCATATTCTTTGCTTTCATGAAAAAGGTTGCAGTCCACTTACGTAGTTTTGGTAGTGGTCGTCAAAAGGAACCCACCAAAGAAACAACGCCCAAAACGGTGCTGCAGGGACGGAGGCCGGCACGATTGAGGCAGACGCAGACCGGCATTCGGCTACGACTCCATCTACCAAAGTTTGCATGAGGAATCAATTTGTCGGTCTCGAAATGCACAACTTCAATGGAAGCGTGAGACACACGTAAGAATGCTTTCATGATCTTCAACTACGTACGACAACCTGCCAGCAGATGCGTGTCACACATGAGAATCGCGCCCACACAAAAATGTTTACAAGCTTACTTGTTGTAGGCAGTATGGTCAATTCAACCACGTCCGTCCATTTGAACAACGGAGTTAGATATAGGGCCTCAAAACGTCCCGTTCGGCCATCTGACGATCTCACGGCCTTGACGACATGATAATTGCGATTTTGTCTCGAAATCCCTGCGAGAACTTTAAGAATAGTAAGAGAGTTCCCCTCTATTTGTGAACTTCTCATTATGTCAAGAGGACTGGAAGTTGGAAAGCGGATTGTAAACAGGGCATGGCAGCGATTCTTTGTCAGCAGCCGACCGACCACAAGTTGCGCAGGGCGTAGAAAGGCTAACAGCTCGGCTTGCATCCAAAGAAGGCTGAAAAGTACCCTACTTACAAATTCTATGACGATGGATGTCATAGGAATGGATGTACTGGAATATGCAACACAATGTCTCCGGGGTAGAAATAATGATGCTGATATAACAGCAAACCTAGGTAAAATTGTTCCGGGCGAGAATTGAAACATCAAATATACCACTATACCATTATTTTAGTTCATGTCTTTTTTAATGAACTCAAGAACGTGCTTGTATGCAAGACTTCGCGCAGGGCGCACTCACATTTTCTGAGGTCCTTTTTGAATTTCGAGTTCAAAATCCTAACGGTCCGCGATTTTTCCCATGCTCCCATCTCCAAGATGCTCACGTTCCCTCCCAACACTCATACATTTTTCTGGCACAATATGAACATTTTTCGAATTAATTTCAAAATAATTGCCATATTTTCCCGTACCTTGATCTTTGCATTGGTGTTTCTTTTTGGCTCCAAGGCAGATACAGAGCAAAGACGTGGCGGTCACTCACACCCCTCTTCCTGTTTTTTCACCAGGGACGCAGTCGAAGAACACAACCATCGCGCTTCGTGCCGTCGGCCAAACAATTATGGCACCGTTTGGGGACAATAAGCGCCACGAGTCCCAGACAATCCTTCCTAATCACAGGCGGCGGACGAGCTGGACTGCATTGTTTGACGGCGCAGTACCCCACGTGAGTCTCTTCATGGGGTTTCGAGAGCATCTTATGATGGCTTCGACTTGCCACGCCTTCTACGCCCGGTGGCCTATACAATCAAAAATATTAAAAATGGGCGTATACCTGCATCGTACCTCGGTCCCCGTGGCTTCAACGCCTCTCAGGGAAATAAACTGCCAACTGCACTGTGATAGGGCAGGAGGCAGCATATGGCGCGGAAATGGAAGCTCCCATAACTTGAAATGGAGAAGCCTCTCTCGCGTACTACAGCATTGGTCCCACATTGAGACTCTACGTTTCTCTGGTTGCATTAGCGGTCCTCAAGAATATTTTTTTCAGGAAGCCCTAGTGGACTTGCCTGCATCGACTCTACAAAAGCAGCAGTACCATAGGTCTCAGCGACAGAAAAACGTGTCGTTAAGCGCAGGAAACAAGAAGCCGTACAATTTTATGACACGTTCCATGCTGCCACAGCTTAAAGAGCTGGTCTTTTCCAGGATTGGCCTCTCGCCTGCAAACGCCTCCTCCATGGCTGCAATCCTGGTCGGCCCCCTCGGGTCCCGCCTGGTCGATTTAGACCTCTCACATAACCCCTTAAAAGACGAAGGATTTCACACCATCTTCAAATCGCTGGCTGCCAGCATGCCGGAGCCCCCTGGCTCCGGCCCACGGCGTCGCCGGTCCTCGTCCTCCACTGCTCACGGTCTCTCTGCCCTCCAAAGCCTGGACCTGTCGCACACGCACCTTACCCACACCGGCCTCGGCTCCTTCCTCCTGGCCTTGCGGAAAGGGTGTGTGTCGAACCTGCTCGTGCTTATGCTAGGGGGAAACCCTCTCAAAGAGGAGGGCGGACTCGTCTTGACGGCCATCCTGGAGGGTCACCACCTCCCTCGCCTCCGCACCCTCGACGCGAGTGCATGCGGCATGGGCCCTCTGGCCACCAGGACTTTGCTCTCAGCGGGGATGGGCGGCGGGATGGCAGCTTTGAAGAGCCTGAACGTAGGGAGTAACTACGTAGACTCGGAGGGCGTGCGGGCCCTGGCCCTGGTCATGCGCCTGGGAAAACTCTCCCGCTTGGACCATCTGAAGGTGGATTTAAGTGGTGAGAATGCGCTCTCACTGCTAGCAGCAGGTTGGAACCGAGACGGAGGGGCAGGTTGGGAGGGAGAGAGGGAAGGACAGGCAGGGGGAGATTTGGAAAAGGAGGGTTGCCCCCCGCTACGGCGTCTCGACTTGGAGAAGAATGCGTCCCTGTACGGACAGGGATGGGCCGAGGTGGTGGAGGGAGGGAGGGAAGGAGGGCTCCCGGCCAGCTTGGAGGCGTTGAATCTGGCGCACTGTAAGCGGTTGGGCGAGAAGGGCTTGGCAGGCGTGTTGGCCTGGGGTCGCATGCACGGGCCGGGACGGCATGAAAGCCGACTTACCTGCTTGGATTTGAGCGAAACAAGCCTAGACGGAGACAATGTCCGAACGCAGCAGCATTTACGGGAGTTGTGGGAAGTCTTTCCCGGTTTGACACATTTAAATTTGCGCGGGAATCGTCTTGGGTGGGCGGGAGGGAGGGCTCTAGCCGAGGGGCTGGCCTCGTCGCGGACGGGCGGAGGGGCCAAGGCCAATGCTCTGGAGGTGTTGGATGTGGCAGGGACCGCGCTGGGTGACGAGGGGGCTTCCTCCCTGTTGCAGGCTCTTCCCAGATGTGCCTGTTTGCGGGAGCTCTTCTTCGCCAACAACGACCTGAGTCCCTCCTTTTGGCGGGAAGGGCGGGCAGTGGAGATGCTAGGGGGTGGAAACATGGAAGCCTTGCGGGTCTTGGACATTAGCAAGAACGCTCTCGGCCCAGGTTTCCTCCCTTCTCAGGACTCCCACGCCTTGTCAGCCTTGCTGGCTCGTCTGCACGTCTTGAAGATGGCATGGACGGATGCGGGGCCTGAGGATGTGGCCGCATTGATTGCAGGATTCAAGGGCGGAGTGGCCGGTGGAGAGGAGGAGAAACTTTCCGGCGTGCCTTTGACGGTCCTGGACCTGGCCTACAACACCCGCATGGGGGAGAGGGAGGTGGAGCGGCTGCTGGAATTCTCTCTCAGCCCTAGAATGGGCCGTCTCCGCGCCCTCTCCCTGGTGGGGACGGGGGTGGGGGATGTGGTTGTCACGGCCTTGACAGGACTGCTGACAATGGACAGGGTGCTGGCGTGCGAGCATTTGGAGACGGTGGAGCTCCGAGGCAACGACGGCATCAGCAAGGGCTGTCGTCAGCAGCTTCTCGGACACTTGGCTCGTCTTCACAATCGGTTGGCTGAGGAGGGTGTATGGGGACATTCACGACGACTTCAATCGCTGGTTCGCATATAGATTTTAAAGCAATTAGCTTTATGAGGGTAGTGTGAAGAGGTAATGCATCGTCATCATCCAAAGCTGCGCTTAGAGTAGAATTCCACGGATAGGGAAATACAGGGTGTGAAACATCAAGTGCTTCGTTGTCAGATGGGGCAAAACAAACGTACAACAGCGAGCAGCAAAATTTACGAGTCAGAGCTTAATTTTCCCTCGCTAGTCAGTCTTTTACTTCCATTTGCTGGGACCGCCTTCCTCTACATGAGTGTGGCTCAAACTTTTATGACTAGCCCAACAGGTCTCTCATAGCCCTTGCATGATTGTCTATCAAACGTAGCGCTTAATGAGTCCGATGGATTCCTTGGGAACCCTGCGCTGGCGTGTCATCTGAATATTGCTCGATCGCCGAGGCTAGCCGTTCTTTAGGCGTCCGGGCCTCTGTCGGGATTTCCTGACGTTTTTTGGCCTCGTCTTTGGTGCCATGCTCCCGCAAAGCTGAAATTTCAGCCTCTCCGTGCGTACCGCCTTCGGGATGGCCTGCTACATTCCCCGAGGACGTTTTATCCGTCTGCTGCCTCAATCGGTTGTGCTCAAGCTCATCATGGCCCTGATCCTCACTCTGCCGACACTCACGAGAGGACTGCATCGCACTGGCTGTAATAGAGACCTTCGCATATTTCCACCGAAGATAGGTATTGGTAAATTATTTAAGAAAAATGAGTCAAAGGTATGATTTAAATCATTCCCACACATCAAAAAGATCAAAGCTTGTGAGATTCGTGATACACTTGTACTTCCTGCCTTCCCTGGCATCAAAAACTATAATATTATAAGAGATGTGATCCACTAATGTCTGATTTTCTCCCATGCATCACATGGCATCGAAATCGGATGTGATCCGCTGTAAGTTTTTGTCGTCTTGAGTACCAGACAGCATCAAAATTTGTCAAACGCATGATCCACATCTATCACCTTGCCCTTCAATGCATCACTTTTTAAAAAACAACGCAGAGATACCTCACCTGCATTGTTTTCCGGCCAAAGCACCATACATTCAAAGAGTAAAACTTCCAGCAGCAAAGACCGACGGGCCATGGCAAGTTGAAGCTTGTAACGTTTTCTTCCGGCAACGTCAGTCCCCCAAAGCCCCCATGGACGAGTTATACTCCAAGCATGAACAAGACACAGAAACCCAATGTAGGCCCAACAAATGAGAATTGATTTCCCAAAATAGTTTGCCAACAAATTTATTCGTCCCCTTGAAGTCAAGCATCTTGAATGAAGCGCTTGATAAAGTAGAGCCTCTAGCATCCTTGGGATCGAAAATAAATATCAGGTTTCCATGCAATTCTTTCGGAAACACAACGGGCAACACTGGAGCATTAGCCGAAATTTTAATGATTTCCAGCGACATGTGCCCACATTTGTCACAACTTGGGAGGGATGATGGAAAAAGTGGAATCGGGCACATAGAAGCTAGGAATGAGAGCTGACAGGAGAATTTAAAACATGTTTAAAACTGTATTTATGCACATGTCCAGTTGTAAGTCGTCTATACGGGTACCTACATATGCTCAGAACGTACGTTCTGTACGTACTAGATGACGATGCGGTGGCCCCGCTACCCAGAAAGATAAGGCGAGAAAAGCAGTTCTCAGCCCGCGCTTTGTATAAAACAAACCATTCTGAAATCGTCTTTATCATACTTTGTCATCCCTCTCGTTAATATAAAAGCTCGACAATTCCATTAACGCTCTCCCTCCATGACTCTCCCTGGCCCCTACTCCCCCTCAAACATGAGGATGACCCTCGACTGCGTTTTCATACCGTTCGCGGGAGGCCCTCACACCTTTACCGTCCAACTGAACTTATCTTCCGCTTCCCCTTGCTGTATGGCACGCACCCTACTGTAGAGCTTCGCTGTGACCGGCCCCGTTCCCCCGTCTTCTCCCCCGATTTTAATTACCTCATCCCTGTAGACGACCCGGTTTACGGGCGTCACCACCACGGCAGTCCCACATGCGGCTACCTCGCGCAGGGTCTTCACCTCTGTTATGGGTATCGCTCTCTCCTGCACCGCCAGCCCCTCATCGCGCGCCAAGTCCATGAGCGATTTGTTCGTGATGGAGGGTAGGACCGTGGGAGATCGAGGCGTGACAAAGGCGCCTGACGAGTCGATGGCAACGAAGTTGGAGGTGGAAAATTCCTCCACAAAGCTGTTCGTCTTAGCATCGAGGTACAAGCCGATGGGGTAGCCCTTCTTCTTCCCCAGCAAATTCGGGAGCAGGTCTGCTGCATAGTTTCCCGCCACCTTCACGTGGCCGACGCCCCGGGGAGCTGCCCTGTCGTAATCGTCGATGACCAGGGCCGAGACGGGGGACAGACCGCCCTTGTAGTAGTCGCCTACGGGAATGGGCATGATCAAGAGGGTGTATTCGTCGGAGGGATTGAGGCCGATGCGCGGCCCGCTCCCAAAGAGGAGGGGGCGGATGTAGAGTGAGCCCCCTGTGCCAAAGGGGGGAACGTAGTCTGCATTATCTGCCACCACGCGTCTGACCGCTTCCACGAAATTGTCCTCGGGAAAGGCGGTCATCAAGAGCCGCTCAGCTGACATACGCAGGCGCTTGGCATTCTCCTGCGGACGGAATATGCGAATGGAGCCGTCTTGCCAGGCAAATGCCTTCAGCCCTTCAAAGATAGCTTGCCCGTAATGTAAGCCTGTGTTGGCAATATGAACTTTCACGTAGGGATCGGCCACCAGTTCACCTTCCGACCATTCACCATTTTTCCAAACAAACTTTATGTGACTCCTTGTCTGCCTGAATTCAAAGCCCAAGTTGGCCCAATCTAAGTTAGCAGTCCCTGGAGCTCGATGCGCCATCGTAGTCGCAGAAAGAGAAAGAGGTAGCCGTCCATCATGTTGGCAGCCACAAAAGGGAGACGGTGTGGAAAGTGCTGCGGGGTGGGAGAGTTGGTGTTGGGACTGGAGGGCCGGACGGCAAGGGGTGAGGAACGCGCTAGATGTGGGAAGCAGGGAAAACAGCAAGAAGACACTTGAATGCAGCGCAGGTCCATGTAATCTTCTTCTGGCCATGGTGTACTGTGTTGCCTTATGTTTTTTTTCGCACAAGGTCAGAGCAAGAGAGGGGTTGAGGGGAGGCTGGAGGCTCCTGGCTTGATCCCAAGTAGAGCCCAGCCAACGATGAGGGCCAGAAGGGTAAAGTATGGCAACATGAAGTCAAGACACTGCCCCAAAAAACATCGACATGACACGCTGACCCCACCCACACTATGGTGATACAATCGGGATGAATCGTTTTACTTTGGCCTTGTTTGTTGGCTAGACTGTCGCCGGGCCACGCCATAGGAATGAAGCGAACGGACGCGAGCGATTGAGCCAGCCCAAGATACATTCAGGCAGGAAGCCCAATCCAACCTACGCGATCATTCCAGCCTGTGCAGGGTGGCCCACACCCTGCGCAGCATGTGAGTATGCTGTGGCTCAAGCAGGGCATAAAGGGGAGGGTCAAAGGGCATTGTGTGTGTCTAGGTACGTGCGCAGGAAGGAGGTGCTTGCGGCAACTGCTTCCTGCCTCCCGGACTCCCCCGCAAAGGGGCCTCACCATTGTCGTGTACGTGTTGGCCAGGTGCTGGTGGGAGTTAGCCGGCATGTCTGTGCATTGCATGCACGGGAGCACGTGTGACTCGTCGCCGTGGGATTTTCGTGTGTCCATTGAGGTTGTGAGATCGTGCTGTGCCGGGGCAAATCTGTGCTCTGCAATTCAGCCCTCAAGTTCAGCCCTCTCAGGACGTGTCTGCTCGCTTTCTGATCGCACACATTATGATAAAACAGGCACTCCTGCATCATAGAAAAGGACGCAGCGTGAACGGCGGGAAAGCAGCAGTGCAGGTGGGCCTTTGTTGTCCTGGAAAAAAGGGTAGCCCGAGCATTGGATCGGAGGGAGCGCATGCTATAAGCTTTTGGCTTCTCAGTGTCGCTTTCCGTCGAAGTGCACGGTGCTCCGCCTCTTGGTAGTAGCGTCCATTCTTTCACACAAGTTGCAAGCGCCGTCGTGCAATGAGAGGGCAGTTTGAGGGGCTAAAAAAGACGCCAGTATCACCATCCGTCATTGACTGTCCTTGCCCGTCTCGTACTTGCATCTCTAGCACCAAGGCCAGCCGGAGCAGTAGCAGCCGCTACCGGTCAAATAATTTCTGTGCATTAGTCCTTTTTGTTTGCATAAACGTCATCGGCGCGACCCCTGTGGCTCCCCCCCCCTCGTTCTGGCCAGTCCGAGGTGGCGCTACGACCTCTCTGACCTCCGCCAAGACGGTTGCCAGCAGTCCCACCCCAGGCACGGGGAGCAGCAACATAAATACATCGAACAAGAGTAGGCGACCGCCAGCGTCCGCCATCTCCACCACCAGCATGCTTGAGACTGACGAAAGCCCCTCCTTGCTCTCCGCGCCTCCAAAGCCGGGCCCTTCACCCTCCACGGCGGCCAACAGCACCACTGCCGCCTCCTCGGGGCCCATCCTCTTCGGCGACCGCATCCTCCTATCTCCCAGTCGAAGGAGAGAGACCGCATCTGCCTCCGGTGGGGCCATGCCTGCCTCGTTTTCGCGCGTCCCTACCGGCACCGGCCGCCCCGGTCGATCCCCGAAACCCCCCAGTTCGCCCCTCCCGCCCCCAGCCTCCGCCCCCTCTCCCCCTTCCAGCACAGTCGCGTCTCCTTCTTTCTCTCTGCACCACTCGCATCGGAAGCATGTGCCTGTTGGAGAAGAGGAAGAGGGATCCGTCACTGCCTTGGACCTGGCGATGGCGGACATCCAGAAGCCGACGCCCGTCTTGCTGGCGGAGGGCCCGGCCTTTGTCTTCGAATTCATCTCACAGTGCGAGCTGCCCACCGACCGAGGTCTCTTCCACCTCCGCGCCTACCGGTACACGCACAAGACGGGTCGCCGGCAAGTGGTGGAGCCCGTGGTCCTCTTCCAAGGAGAGCACCGGGGGGGGAAGCAGGTCTGGGTGCGTGTCCATGACCAGTGCCTGACCTCGGAGGTGTTGGGGTCGCGCCGGTGCGATTGCAAGGAGCAGCTTGAAATGGCGCTGGACCGCATTGTCGGGAACGGGTCGGAGGGCGGGCTGGTGATTTATTTGCCACAGGAGGGGCGCGGGATCGGCCTGGCCAACAAGGTGGCGGCTTACGCGCTGCAAGAACAAGGTCTGGACACGGTGGATGCGAACTTGTTCCTGGGTTTTGGGGACGACGAACGCACCTACGACTACGTCTCCTTCATCCTGCAAGACCTGGGGATCGAGTCCATCCGCTTGGCCACCAACAACCCTTTCAAGACGAGGTCCCTCAGGGCTGCTGGGGTCCAGGTCGACGGCGTGGATGGTCTGCAGCCCTCCGCCAACCGGCACAATCTACACTACCTCCGGACGAAAATTCTGAAAATGGAGCACGCCATGGAGCTGAGGCTGGGAGGGGGGGAAGGCCGGGAGGGCGAGAGGGAGGAAGGTGGTAGCCTGGATGGTACCGAGGCGGCCACGACGCCGGAGGTATTGACCGAATCGGATCGGAATTCCTTGAGTTCCGAGAAGGAGAGGATTTTGGACCAGGAGGGATTGGAGGAGGAGCTGGAGGAGGAGAGGGAGGAAGGAGGACGGAGAGGGAATGGGGAGGGATCGGTGGAGGACAAGGTTGGCGCGGGGGTGTCGGCGGGGACCCTGGCGAGGTCGGAGGGCCCACAGACCGGCGAAGCAGGAGAGAAGGCAGCGAAAGCTGCCGCGGCAGCCGCGGCAGCAGCAGCGGAGGCGGAAAAGAAGCTTCAAGCGCCGGGATATTGTTTTGGGAAAGCCACGGTGGAGGCGGCCATCAATGCGGTGGCGGCGGGGAAGATGGTAGTGGTGGTGGACGACGAGGACCGGGAGAACGAGGGGGATATCATTATAGCGGCCGACAAGGTGACCACGGAGGCGATGGCATTCATTGTCCGGCATTGCTCGGGCGTGGTCTGTGTCTCCTTGGAAGGGGAGGACTTGGACCGGCTGGCCTTGCCCCCCATGATCGCGGAAAACGAGGACCCCAAGCACACCGCCTTCACCGTCTCGGTCGACTACAAGCACAACACGACCACAGGCATCTCCGCACACGACCGGGCTGCCACCCTGCGCGCCTTGGCGGACCCAGCCTCGCGCGCCTCTGATTTCACCCGGCCAGGGCACATTTTCCCCTTGCGCTACTCCCCGGGGGGGGTCAGGAACCGCCGCGGACACACCGAGGCGGCCTTGGACCTCTCCAAGCTGGCGGGGAGGCGCCCTGTGGGGGTCCTCTGCGAGATTTGCAGCGAGGATGGGAGCATGGCCCGGCTTCCCGAGCTGAGGGAGTTCTGCGCCCGACACAATCTGGTCCTGACCAGCATTGCCGATCTGGTGGCTTACCGGGTGGAACACGAAGGGAGCTGACGGGGATACAGAGGGATCGACAGTAAATTTGTAGGGATAGATCAATGTTACAGCAGCCGCGTTAGCACCATGGAGGTCGCTCCCGGGCCGGAAGGAAGAGGCCGCTCGAGAGGGAAGGCGAAGAGTTTACAGAGAGCCTGGACGATCCATTTATGTGTGGAAGACTGGGGTGTGGAGGCGGCCAGGGCCCCAAATGGATCCACACGAGAAAATTTCACGTCCATGGCGCAGCCAGGGGGCCGAAGGGGGCTTTTGGAATGGCCGAGTAACCAAGGCGGAGGCGTCTGGCATGCTTGTTGCTTGCTGCGTGTGGGGGGCGAGTGTGGCGTGGGTGGGAAGGCAGGTGGGCCGGGCAAAGGCCAGGAGACAGGGGGTAAGATGAGGAAGCCTGGTGGCCACGAGGTTATCGAGGCCCATGCGCGGATCGAACACCTGTGGAGTGAGTCCAAGCGCCAAGCAAACGCGAGGCAGTGAGTGAGCCTCCAGGCGGGAAACGAGTAGCAGCAACAGCGGCACGACGATGTGACGAAAATTCATTGGAAAGAAAAAGAAAGAATTCAAATTGGATGGATCTTTCGCAGGAAAAGAGAGGTATCTCTGAACGTCGGACAGCCGTACTTTTCTTTCCCCTTTCCAAAGCTTTTTCCTTTCGTAAACAACCCTCCTTTTTCAACCTCACTTATCGATTAGAGGGCTGGAGACTGGCTTGTCGAGCGACCAAGTAGACGCGGGTGCCTCTAGTAGACGCGCGTGCCTCTTATACGAGTTCGCATGTCCAGCTGCGAGCGTTTGCAGAGGAAATACGCATTGCGTTGCACCTGTTCCAGGGCATGGGAGAGTGATATGCGTGAACGGACTCGTGTCAAAGAACGTGGGCTCTACATACGCCCGTAAGCTGCTGGGAACTGGGGGAGAAGACTTTGGAAATCTTCTCTGTACCTCGACCAGAGGCCTGCTTTGCCACGCTCCCCCCCAAAATGTAAGGTGCTGAAGATAAAATAGGACAGCCAACATCTATTCAAGCCAAATTAAGCGTCGGGCTCCCCCCTTTCTCCTGGTAGACCTACCGAGCAAGCATCCACGTCCTCGCTTTTCAGGCATTCGGTCAGGGAACCTCCCGTCTTCATACAGGGCTGCTGCTGCATGCAGGCCAATAGGGCATAGGCAGCTTCCTTACAAGACTTGGGCTTGAACGTAATAATCGTCATCCCGATTTACGTGATCATACCCCCAAAAAGGAACAATTTGGGAGGATAAAGTAAGTAATTGCTGCTCGGTAAACTCTACAACCTGTAGGTCTCCCTATAGCCAAAGAAGGAAATTTAACTTTGACTCACCATGTGGGTAATGATGTGTATTCAACAATCCTCAACCAACAAAGCTGCTACCAGAGCGAATGATGCCTGCTTTCTTGTGCGCCGCAATATATATCTGAACCCGCAAGCCCTGCGTGTGGGAACCCCTCCCGCCGCGTCGGGTTTCAGCCAAAATTTGTCACCGAAGGGTTCACCTCCAAAGCGCTGGTGAACGAGGCTGTTGTGATGCCTGTAATGAGGACTGCGCTTGAAATAAGATTTGTTGACGCTGGTTCTGGGGGCAGGCAGACGAGGCGGGGGGGTACAGGGAGAGTAGTGCCCGTCTGGCAGTGGAGGTGGCTGAAACCCTAGAAACGCCTCCTTTTTGCTACGGTCGCCCTCAGTGAAGGCGTGGGACTCAATGCACATATTGCCATGCAATGCATATCTCACCAACAACTCAAATATTTCGGGGGCTTCGTCATGTGCTGCTCATAATTCAGCCTTAATGCTCACAGCAACCTCTCCGCATCTCTCAGACATACGTCATGAGCGCGGGCACTCCTCCTACCATTGTCCCGGACCCTGATTACAGAGATGGCTCAAGGGAGGGACGATTGCGTTTCAGCAAGCGTGCGGAACAGGTAAGATGCTCGAAGCCAGACCTGCATGCGTGGCAACCATGCAATTGCTTGATCGCGATGCCCTCACGGTGCCTCCTCAGACCCCCCCCGCCCCCTTTTTTCTCCTCTGTCAGCATCTCCGGGACGAATTAGCCCTGCACGCACGCAAACAATGCCAGGAGCCGATGGCAGCATTTGCAGCGTGTGCCAAAGAGAATGGGATGTTCGTGATTTTCAAGTGCCGGGCTCTTAATAACGCCAGTAGGTGCTTGGGGGGGGCATGGAGGCTAGGCAGATCCTTGTAATCGGGCTAGGTTCCTGCACTCACACAATTTTCGTCGTTCACGTCGGAAGTTGCCTGGCAAAGTTATGTCGGTACCGCCTCTGACTTGTATATTGCAATCTTTATTCTTTTAGCAAAGTCGTGGCCGAGACCCTTGTCCTCTCTGCCCTCTGACGGGGCCCCCCTCTGCAACCACATTCCCGGCTTCCTCATCACCTTCCTTGCTNTCCCCCCATCTTTCTCAGTGAACGCGTGCTTGAGTCAGTATACGTCGGAGAGCAAGTTTGAGGAGTGGAAGCAGACGCGAGGGCTCAGTCTCGCCGAAGAAGCTTAAAAAAACCACCTCGATCCGAAAACCAAAAATGAAGGCACGCCGAGGCCGGTCCCCGATCCCCCCCCCAGCTCTTGCCCTCTTTCTTTTCACTCGCGAGTTTTTTCTTTTGCAGTATTCTTACGGCCTGCCTCTACTGGCAGCGCTCAGCCCACACTCCCTCTCGCCCAGACCCTCGCGAGCCAAGAGCGTGACTCCCCTTTCCGCCCGCTCCCCCCCAACACCCCTCAGGCCTCTGTCTGCTTGACGAAGAAGGTGAATTCCACCTCCTTATTGGTGAGCTTCTTGTACACCTCCTTGAAGGTGTCGAGCTTGTAATCCACGTTCATCTGTCCGGAGGCGTGGGAGCGGCCGTGAGGGGGGAACAAGTGTACCGCGGCAACGAAGGGCAAAGGAGGGCCTCGGACATTACGGATAGGGAGGGGAACACCCTGGCACTGATTTCAGTCCGACCCCTCTCTTCCATTGCGCCCTACCTGATCCTTGTTGTCCAGGAAGACCTTGAGGGTCTTCGTGCCGTCCACCTTGCAGCGCGTCCGCTTCCCCACGATCTCGGTGGGGTAGACCAGGTCCTCCAGGATCGCGTCTTGTACCGCCGTCAGTGTGCGCGACCGGGGTCGGGGTCCCTTGGTCTTGGTGGAACGTCCGTAAGACTTGCCCAGGATGGTGCGTTGCGCGATCACCACCACGTGCGAGCCGCTGGAGGGAGGGAGGGAGGGAGGGGGTGATGGGAGTATGGACGGTATGAGTTAAGGCCAGGATCGTGCCGGAGACGAAAAGGGCCCGTGACGGAGGGCCCCCATGACTCCTCCGCAGGGTCCGCTGTATCCTGTCCGGCTCACACCCTGTACCGCCCTCCCTTTCCTCCCTTACCTAAACTTTTTCTCCAGCTCTCGGACGAGACGCTGTTGGATCTTGTGGTAGGCCTTCAAGAGCCTGTATGGGACGAAGACGACGATCGCTTGGGTCTTCCCGACGTCCACCTCCTTAGCCGCGGTGATGTACAGGTCCTTCAGGTCGGCCTTCCACTCGGGGTTGTTGTTCTGCCGGAGGGAAATGAGACGTCAGACTGGAGGCGAAGAGGTGGAAGCGTTCCTCCTTTCCTTTTTTTGGGCATCTAGAAGGCCTGGTAGACCGAACCCTTCTCCAGTGTGACGGTACCTTGCCTGACCCTATATACATGGCAGCCACATTCCAGTCTCTTGATGCCCTCCAAACATCCCCCCAACCCCTGTCCACTTAATTTTTCTAGCTATCTAATTGAACGCTATCACCCCACGTCCCCACGGGTTCCTTTGGCACAGGCAATTTCAACCCTAGCCTCAATTCCCCCCCTTCTTTTTTACATCGTCGACAGTCAAAGAAATGATTTTTTTCCCACACAACAGACCACCAGGCCGTCTGCAGCCTACGTGAAAATGACTCAGGGCATCTACTTTCTTGCTATGCTACAAATTTCACCAACCCCAACCCTCATTCTCTTTCGTTCTTCTCCTTCTCCCCCCCCCCCTACCTCAAGGTTCATAAGCTCGGAAGCCACCTTCGTGTCCCACTCATCCGGCTCTTGTCCCCGAGGCTTGACGATTTTCTTAGTTGCCATGACTATACAATTTGAAGATAGAGGGAGGTTATGAGCATTAAAAGAAAGATGAAGGCACACCGATACGCCTCCCATCGAGCAAAATTGCCTCCCTCGATGGCCTTAGGAAGGTCGATATGCAGCTTTTCTGTGCAGTCCGCGATTCTATTTCTCTCCGTGAAAGAGATTTCTCGGGATGCATCGACAAAACTGCTCATCATGACAGCTTCGCACCGTACACGTGAGAGTGCTTGGGATAAAAGTCAGAGCTCGAGGGCAGCAGCCACACAGGCTGGCGATGCTTGTGGTCTCCAGGCCGCCTCCCTCTCACCGCCCTACATCCTCCGACACACAACCCCTGCCACCAAAATGACTACGGCGCAAGACACCGTGCGGATGCCCAGAGATCACACGTTATTATAGACGACAAGTGAACCCCCATCACCCAGCCAGGGCGGGCCCCGGAAAGAAAGTCGCTGGCCACCACTCCTCCGCTCTTCGCTTGTGAGGCGCCTGATACGCACACTGTGGCAGCGCTCTTACCTCCCCATGTCCCAAAGGACATGTTACAAGAGATCTTGACGGGATCATGATGGAAAATACCTTGATGGTGCGAGTATCTGGCTGGCTAATGATAATGCGCAATAGGTCGGGATGACCTTTGAGGGAACGAGGAGAGAATTCACGTTGTGCCGCGGGAACGAGGGATGAAAAGAAGGCAAGAAAAGAGCAATATTGTGACACGCAAAGAAAAATGTTGGTCGTGTATGCAAATGTTCTGTATCTTAGTAATATAAAGATTTATTCGAGGAGACTTTCGTGCGATCATATGGTGCAGAAAAATGTGTCTGTAGTTTCCCCTGGTACGTCTCCGGCACCGTGACAGGGGTTTCAATTTCCACCAAGTACACGATCGATGACTCCTCATCTCACAGAACTAGACGAAATACAGATGATTAAGTATTCTACTGACGTTAAAATATCATCTGCTGGAAAAAAAATCATTCAAAAGAAGAAATATCGGAGGCAGTCGTGCATATTTAGACACCCGCCTTGAAGAGATAGAGCGAAAGAAACATTTCGTCGATTTTTAAAAAAACAATTATACAGAGTTCGGAAGAGCAATTGACCAGATTACGGGTGTTGTTCCACGCGGTTTAACACCATCTTGACACCATAGCTGCGCCAATACCTCCAAGAATGCTTGGCAAAGCTGTGGACAGTCGTAGAACCGCGCTGCCTGTGCCACGTAAGACGAAGATGACAAGTTACGTCGCTAACACTTTGAGGCACAGACATGATCACATATGTAAACCCACGTTATTCAATCGACGTATCGCGTCTCCTCGAAAAAAATCAGGGAACTTTGAAGGCTAGCTGTATGATCTCGCACTGAGAGAGACCTGTGCCACAGCACAATTCTCTCACATCTTGAGTCAGCTATATGACTGTCATCACTTTTCTCTACGCACGCAGTAGGCTGAGGAAACCGTGGTATCACAAAGGAAAAGCGCAGCCTCTAACAAAAGGTCTTGTGACCTATCTCCTGGACCCGCCTTACCTAGAAAGGATGCAGACATCACCGGCGCGTGTCGCCCGCGCTCGAGGACCCTGTGACGATGCGCATGGGGAGTAAAAACTCTCAGTATCGAACGGATCCATCTTCTGTGTCATTCACGAGGACAAGAAGGTGGGTGGGAGGGGCTCAGACAACAAAGTTCTTCTCATCTACGAGGCAACCCAGGCGGAGCCCGAGCAGACGCAGAAATAGACCAGGTAAAACGGCGGTATGTTGATAAAATGCATCTTGGCCATCCTCAAGTACTAAGAAACTGGTTTGTACCGTTCATGTACTCCCCTTTCGACGTCAACCTCGTGCACTCACCTCTCATCATGCGGTTCCAATTGCTGACAGTCTGAAGGAAGGACGCGCGCGCGATCCATCGATCACCTGTCATTTTTTCACCATGCAACCCCTTCATCCCCGCGTACAAATGACTTCATGCCCATGCAATCGCCACTCGTGCGCCAAGTGGCATTTGATTTCGTGCCCTCCTTCCCGCCCGTCGATCATTGGCAAGCAAAAAGGATCTGCAAGCATGAGAGAAAGAGGGCTCAAGGCGTGCAGCCTCGATTCGGCTCCAAATTGGATAATTGCTACATGTCCTCTATTTCCAGGCTTTCAGAAAGGAATCCTTACCGCCATCAAGCCTCGTCCATTCATGCTTGCCATACGTGACATCCCATGCAGCGTCATGCGAAGCATCGACCGCGTGAAGGGGGGAGGTCATCGAATACGGATGCCGGAGTTCTCCTGATGAGATCCTTGCTGGAGCGAATAAAACAATGTTATGTACATCGAGCAAGCATGTTCACCCGGAATTTCGATGCGCATGCATCAGATACGACATCAAAGTCCTCATGTGCACTTTTGATCAAGCAAAACAGCAGCACTTACGAAGCGAATGTCTTTTTTTTTTAAAGTCACTACATATACGTCATATAGCAGCGCGCTTCAATCACGCTTGCCTTCGCGCTTCTGTGATGAAAGTCTTCGTTTATGTGTGCTTGAGGCATGGAATGGACATCTTGACAGTCATAGTCTTGACTCCAGTTATAACTTCTGGCTTCGTGTTGTGACAGAACTTCTGTCATGCAATACGCCATGGCACCGCCAGGATCGTCTCATACGCCTCCTCACTCCTCATTCGATTTTTCTCCCCTTAAATCCGAGTATAGATACGACAAAAAGCTCCCAAGATCTATCTCTGCCGGAGAGCAAGCCCTTTTCGTGGCCCTTGGCGCCTGTCTGACCCACAGAGGGGCGCTCTCCACTCTACCTCCTTCAGAGGCCGTCCAGGATGCGCGGTCGAACCACCCCCCCACGCCCGGCGCCTCCACTGCTTTCCCCCCTCCTCCTCTGCACATTTTTCTTCACACTCGTAGCCTCTTTCTCCATCCCTCCGCATCGAATCGCCACACGCCCTTCGTTCGCCCCCCTGCCCCTTCCCCTTCCCAAAAGCCCTCTGTGGGGCCCGAGCCCCTCCCTTCCCCCTCCCCTCCCCTCCCCCTCTCCCCCCCCTTCGGCCTGCCCATCTACCCTCTTCGCAAACAGTCCTACCACAACCAATTACCCGTCCGAAGCCAAGTTCGGTGACCTTCCCTACGCGCCTGGCCAGGTCAAGACGGGCACTTACCTGCGAGGGATGGACCGTTACAAGTGGCGCACGTTACCGGACGTGTTCGAAACGGTCGCGTCCCTGGCCCCCGAGGCGGTGGCGGTGGAGGACATGGTGCACACTCCGACGGCGAAAATGACTTATGGAGAACTGAACCGGCAGATCGGAGCCTTGGCCGCCTTCTTTCAGCACGAAGGCCTCAAGCCCGGGCAGTGCGTGAGTGTCTTCGCCGAGAACAGCCATCGATGGCTGATCGCCGACCAGGCCATCCTAAAGGCGGGGGCCTGCAACGCGGTCCGAGGCGTCAAGGCCCCCGTGGACGAGCTCCAGTACATCTACCAGAACAGTGAGAGCGTTGCCAGCGTGGTGGAGAGCGTGGAGCAAATCGAAGGTGAGGGAGGGCGAGAGGGCGGGAAGGAAGAGGAGCGGGGGAAAATGGAGGTCATCTGTGTTGCGAAAGAGCGTGCTCGTCTCTCTCGTGTACTCGAGCTTCTCACCCTACAGGGACGTCTAACCCCCCTTTCCTTCCCTCCCACTTAGCCCTTATGCGAACCAACGGTGGCCTCACGGGCCGGTACGGCCCCCCCCGCTTCATCCTCGTCCTCTTTCCCGGCGAAAGATCGGGCCAAGAGATCAGGGGTACGCAGG